GTGTTTTATTATTTTATTTTGTTCACTTATTGTTTGTCTTTTGGTATTGCACCCCCTTCCCTGTGATTGTAAGCCGCCCTGAGTCCCCTCAGGGAGAAGGGCGGCCTATAAATCTTAATAAAATGTCTAAAAAAAAAACAAAAAAACCTGCCTGAATCTCCTGATTTCCCCAGAGCTTGATAATAATACAATATTTTTCATTTCTTGAACAGTAAGATCTGATGATGTTGTCAATTGCAATAAGAACCTTAATGTGATCGTGAGACTTCGCTATTTTAAACTGTAACTGAGGAGACACAATCCATGGATCTCAAACCCCATTTTTGAAGTCCCAGATGCCTCCAAGATCATGTCACTTAAATTTACAAACAAACCATAATTGTTCAGCTTTTCATTAACCTAAAAACTGAAACAGATGAGTTACGCTTCTGCCAGGCTGAATATGCCCTTTTAGTTCCCCAGTTTCTATGGCAATGTCATCAGATCTCCAGAGCCTTGGAAGGTGTAAAAACAACATCTCAAATAAGTCACCCCAAGTTCTAATAATCCTGACTAATCTTTCCTGTGGTACTCACGGAGCTTGGAAGAGAAACACTCTCCAGTCTGCTGTCTTCAGTTTCAGAACGTTGGATTTTTTACTATAATCCGAGGCTTTTGTGGCTAAGGCATGATGAATGCGAATAGCATTCTTTAGATCTACTTCAGAAAGATCTTTATCAGGTTTATATTCATCCTGTGACAAAAAAGAAACAACAGTTCATCCATAAACATTTGGAAATGACCCTTTATATCTGCTGAAAGATATTTCCCCAGATTTTCCTTTAAAAAGCCTGAGACTCCAATCCAATGAAGACCATAAAAAGAAATAGGAAAGAGCAGAATCAGATGATAGTCACAAGAGGAATGCATAAAGGAATTCAATTTTGAATACTCTTCCAGCAATTACTGAATCCATTTTTTTGGATTTATTTCAAATTATAAGTATAAAGTATGCAAGTTTTTTAAAAATAAATTTTGTGTATGCAGCCCTGGGACTGTTGTTGACAAGTACTATATACTGCACAATTTAAAAAAAGAAGCAAATTAAATAAATGCAGGTTGCAAGGTATAATGTTGCATTTTTAATACATGTGATATATGATGAGGAAGCAGGGATGCATTTTGTTACAAATAAGTTTTTCCTGGGGTAAAAGAGAGGGGCCGATGTATTGATGAGTTAATCAATGCAGTGATTCATACATGGCAAGTGAATGAGCAGTGTAATATTTTTACTTTTCATGTTAACCAAGGTCTAAAAGTAAAATGTGTACAGAAGACAAGCACTTTGTTGTTCTCAAAAAAAAAAGTTTATTGATTCAATGTGGTAAAAATTGGCTACACAATTCTACACAATAACATATACTGGAATTAGGCTGTGTGATGCTATTGTACTATTTGATGCTCCCTTTTGGAAATGTGATTTATGACACAGACTGAGGGGAGGGGAGGAACAGAGTAAAGTTCAGCTATAACTCAAACGAAGCTTAGATCTGACTGCGAAAGACCTTGCCTAACGATGCTCCTAATAAAGGATTGGTTTTGAATTGAAACTTGGCTCAATATTCATGAATCAATTAGGGCATTTTTAGGAAACCTGGCAGATGGTAGCTGAAGATATTAAACTAGTATTCCCATATGCTCTTAAGGCATTGCATTCCTACTAATGTCTTCACATTTAATTGTTGTTTCATATGATTGCTGCATTTATGAGAGTAGTATTTCATGCATAATCTCCATTCTTCTTGATATTTCTGTTCCTCATTGAAAAATCTTTAGAAATGTAGATACTGTCCGGTATTTCTTGGCTGTTGGATATATGCCACATATCTCTCTGTGATATGACTGGTGACATTTAGATAATTCTTATCTGTATATTAAGAGTTATGTTGAACAATTAGCTACCATTCATACTTTCTAAAATCTTAAGTAAGAATCACCGAATCCTTCAAACATAAATAATCACTAACAATTCCATTATGTCAGTGGTTCTCAACCTTTCCAATGCTGCAACCCTTTAATACAGTTCCTCATGTTGTTGTGATCCCCAAACATAAAATTATTTTTGTTGTTACTTCATAACTGTAATTTTGCTACTGTTATGAATCGTAATGATATACAGGATGTATTTTCATTATTATGAATTGAACATAATTAAAGCATAGTGATTAATCACAAAAATAATATGTAATTATATATTGTGAAATGGTTTGCTAATGAAAATAATATATATATAATATAATATAATATAATATAATATAATATAATATTATAGTATAGTATAGTATAGTATAGTATAATATAATATAATATAATATAATATAATATAATATAATAATATAATATAATAAATACAATACAATACAATACAATATAATATAACCTCTAACCTTGTTACAAAAAGTCCATGAAACATTTCAGTTGGTAACAAAATAAAAATAAAATGGGGAAGAAAGACAGTAAAAAAAAATGAGTCAAAGAGAAATAAAGTACTAGGTTTGATATCTCCTCCTATTTTTCATCTTGTCTTACTGGTTCTTTATGATTTATCAATTGTTGTTTGTAACTAATGATGGTAACTATTATTATGACCTATGACCTATTATTACTTGCTGTTTATATGTACACTGTGAGTTGATGCACTGGAGACAAATTCCTTGTGTGTCTTATCGCACTTCACCAAGAAACATTTCTATTCCTACTTCATTCTATTTCATTCTATTCTATTCTGTTCTATTCTATTCTGTTGTATTCTATTCCACCCTATTCCTATTTCATTCCTATTCCCTTTCCCATTCCATTTTTCTATTCCATTCCATTCTATTCTAAGCATGGAAGCTTAAAACTAAAAAGATGTAGTGCTTTATTTTTTTTCAGTGTCTGCTGAAGATGTTTTGTGATGGCTATCTTTTTTCCCCTCCGTTCCTAAATTCCTAGAATCCTCTCGCCCCCAAGTTTTTCAACCACTCATTCATTCATAGATATCGCCGGAAGGGAAGGAAGGCGGGTCTCCTTGTGAATGGACGGAAGTTTTTACAGAAAAGGGAAAACCCGAACTTCTGGAGCCAACTGCTGCAGAACGTCCACGTGAACTTCCGAGTCTCCGAGAAGGCTGTGGACTGAAAGGATATTGTCGCCATCCTTCCTGCCTCGGTTCTCAGCTCCTTCTTCCCGGTGTCCCCTCCCATCCCCTCGCTTCTGGGAGACCGAGCTCAGCCCGGCCACTTCTGAGGGCACTGCCTTGCTGGCGCTCAGGCACTCCAGTCTCACTCCTCCCCTCCCCTCATCAAGCACAGCCATCTGATCAGTCCACTGGTGCCTCTCATGTCGCAATTGGCTGGGCACTGGTTGCCCTCACTCCACTGCTCCTGTCAGGTAGCCCCTCCCTTTCACAAGGCAGCGCCTGCTGCCGCCCACAGCTCCCCTGGCTCCAAATACTGGCACGCAGGTGTCTCGGTTCCTAAGACCATCAAAAATATGTGTTTTCTGATGGTCTTACGTGACCCTTGTGAAAGGGTCATTCGACCCCCCAAAAGAGTCGCGACCCACAGGTTGAGAACCGCTGCATTATGTGGTGTGTTTTAATCAGATTTGATAGCTCTTTCAGATTAAACATAAACAAAGTTTTCTTATATTTATATATTAGATGGTAGAAATATTAAAATCACACACACCGAGAGAGACACAGAAAAAGAAAGACAAACCACACACAATTAAAACAATCTCTCAGATGAATAAAGGTCAGTAGCTATAAAGGATTTCTGTGATTTAGACTTCAAACCAGTGGTGGGATTCAACTCTTTTTACTACTGGTTCTGTGGGTGTGGCTTAGTGGGCATGGCTTGGTGGGTGTGGCAGGGGAAGGATACTGCAAAATCCCCATTCCGCAGCCTCAGCCACCCAAATCCCGTTTTACGCCTAGTGGGCCTCCCTTCACTTACCTGGGAGCCAAAATGGGGCATGTGGGGACTCCTGGAAGGGGAGGGACGGGGCCAGCCAGAGGTCGTACTGTCAGTTCTCCAAACTACTCAAAATTTCTGCTACCAGTTTGCCTGAACTGGTCCGAACTGGCTGAATACCACCTCTGCTTCAAAATAGAAAGCCAGTATAGTACACAAACTTGCATATTGGAAATATAAATCTGATGTCAACGTCTAAAGTGTTTCCATGACTACTATCAACTTGAGAAGGGGGGAAAATGCCATGCATACTTTTGNTACGTTACGAAGTCCTAGGCCCCTGGGTGGGGCCCGACTAGTAACCAATGCCAAATCCGGCGAAACAACTGGCCGCTGTGATACAATTGTATAATGTATCCCAAGGCTAATGACCAAAGGGCAAATCTATCAGCATCATTTTCTGCATGTTACCTTCCAGATAGAACAGGAGTTACATGAATTTTGGAGTTACTAGTGACTTTGGTTGTAAATGGCAAAGTAGAAGTTGGATGATAATATTCATGCCATGGGACCTAAATAATGATTCCACCCCCATCGCCTCCCCCTGAATTGTCAGGAATTCAAACAAGACAGGGTTATTTTTGTTAACTTCTGTGTGCAAAAACCATCGTCCTTTAATTAGGTCTTTACACAAAATACACGCAGAGAGAGACTCCTGTGACAAAACAGTTCTGTGACATATGGTTAGGAGGAGAAATAGGGAGAAATGGATTGCCCCTCTACTAAAGATGGGACTATAGCATCAATGCCATTTTGAATATATGGAAAATGAATAGCCTGTACTGTTCATGAAAGTCAGATAAGTAATAGGGTCATAGATGGCCTTATGTTTAGGTAGTGGGGACCAAATATCAGAGGCGCCAGATGCTGGGAGGAACTATTGGCACCTCCCAATAAATTGGTCCTAAGTCCCATAGTCATGCCAATCTTTTTGGAATATCATTATTAGTCTGTAACCTCAATTGTGATGGTCGAGCCCATCCCATTGGTATTGTGGCAGCAGTGATAATTAGCCAAGCCATTTGGATTCTGAAATTGGAACATGAATGTATGTCTATGAGTACTTTTCTTTTCCTTTGGTTCACAAAATGAAATGTTTAGCTGATTCCAGACAAACAATGTTGCTGCCTCTAAAGCAAACTTGTGAGTTTCCAGAGCTATGATTTAAGACTAGTGTCAGGCCTGCAGCGGTTCCTTTAAGAATCTTTGGCCTGCCACACTCTTATTAAGGGGGGGATTTAGCAAAGGGTAGAATGTATTGTTTTCAAAATAAGAAATTCAAGGTCATCTTTTGTATTCCAAACCTGAGCACCTGGACGGAAGCAGTTAGGCGTGGACACCAGCGTGGAAGAAGAAGATTGGACCATGTGATGGACTGTGGGTGTGGGGGCAAGATCATGAACTTTTAACTGGGTGGGATTCTGATGTAACTTCCAGAGTCGGAATCACATAGCTCTATGCCAACATGCCTGCTTTATTAAATTGGAACTTTAAGCATAGTTTTGGCTTCGACTCTGATTTAATTTTACATGGTATTTGGAAAGCTTACATCTAGATTTGTAGGTTTCTTCCTACATTACATTTCTCTTAATATCAATCCATTGGGCATTTTAGGTTTAATAGAAATCCTTGCCTTGAGAAAATACCTTTCTGTAGTAAAAGGGGTTTATCAACTATCCTTACCTTTTGCAAATACAGTATGGTCCCTTTAAGCACAGCATAAAATTTCTTCCATCCCCTTCGTCCTCTTGGAGCTGAAAAAGATGGATAAATATTTCCCATGACTACAGGAAAGAGGGACACACAATTAAGGCAGAATATCAGCAGATAGCCAGAATCTGCAAAGACGAAGTCAGGAAAGCAAAGGCTCAGAATGAACAAAAGACTTGCAACAAAAGTCAAAGATAATTTTTAAAAGTTTCTTCCAACATATAAATAACAAGAAAAAAATCAAGGAAAGAGTCGGTCCGCTAAAGAGAGAAGATGGCAAGGAAGTAATAGGCAACAGAGAGAAAGCAGAGCTGCTTAACTCATTCTTTGCATCAGTCTTCACGCAAAAGGAAACTATAATCCAACCTACCAAAAACTTAACTGTAAAAGACAGACTAGAAATAAAAGCTAAAATAAGCCAAAAAAAAATAGTAAAAGAACACCTGTCTGATCTTGATGAATACAAATCACCGGGACCTGATGGATTACATCCCATATTTCTAAAGGAGCTGGCAGATGTCATCTCAGAACCACTGTACTACATCTTCCAAAAATCCTGGCGCACTGGGGAACTACCAGAGGACTGGAAAAGAGCTGATGTGGTTCCCATCTTCAAAAAGGAAAAAACCAGACCCAGGAAACTACAGACCAATCAGCCTAACTCTGGAAGATACTGGAAAAGATAATAAAAAAAACAGATCTGCCAACATCTAGACACGAGTAATAACCAGCAGTCAGTACGGGTTTGTTAAAAACAGATCATGCCAAACCAATCTTATTTCATTCTTCAACATAGTGACTAAATTAGACGACCAGCGAAATATTGTGGGCATGATATACTTAGACTTCAGCAACATATGAAGAACAGTTATAGGAACTGTGCATGGCTAGTCTAGTGAAGAGGAGGACCAGGGGAGACATGATAGCAATATTTGAGAGGCTGCTACAGAGAGGAAGGGGTTGAGCTATTTTATCAGGGAACCTGAAGGCCAGACAAGGAATAATGGATGGAAACTGATCAAGGAGAGATTCAACCTAGAAATGAGGAGAACTTTTCTGACAATGAGAACAATCAACCAATAGAGAAGCTTGCCTCCGGAGGTTGTGGGAGCTTCATCACTGGAAGCTTTCAGGAAGAGACTGGACTGCCATTTGTCAAAAATGATGTAGGGTCTCCGGCTTGGGTGGGGGTTGGACTAGATGTCCCTTCCAGCTCTGTTAATCTAATGATTATCATGTGAACAGAAAGGTCCTTTCAGATGCAATCCATTAAAAAAACAAGATAAAAGAGACTAATAAAGTGAACCAGCTATCAATACTATATGTAAACGTTTGTTTACATATAAATCCAATAAACCTCAAACCTCAACCTGTTTTCAATTTAATAGATATGAAAAGATACAGGTAGTCCTTGACTTACAACAGCCTGCTTAGTGACTGTTCAAAGCTGTAATGGTACTAAAAATGTTACTGATGAACATTTTTCACGCTTACGACCGTTGTAGCATCCCCATGATCACATGATCAAAATTCAGATGCTTGGCATCTGGTTCACATTTATGACGGTTGCAGTGTCATGGGGTCATGAGATCACATTTTACAAGCAAAGTCAATGGGGGAAGCCTGATTCACTTAACAACCATTTTACTAATTTAACAAATGCAACGATTCACTTAACAACTGTGGCAAGAAAATTTGTAAAATGGGGCAAACTCACTTAACATGTTTCACTTAGCAGCATAAATTTGGCTCAGTTGTGGTCGTAACCCGAGGACTACCTGTACATTTAAAATAAATAGGAGAAAATATGAAAGGAACACTTTTGAATGATCAAGCAAAAAATAGAATGAGAGGTCACTCTTGGACCATGCCAAAAACAGTGGTAGAGAATCCATAATGGGATTAAAGAGAAAAAGTATGGATTAAGCTAGATATCACCCACTATTAAGGTATCCAAAAGACAATGCACAAAAACAGTAAACAGCCTCTGAACTCTACAGCAGTTTCTGCATAGATAATGTAAATAAATAAATAAATACATGCATTTCCCTGCTTTCCCTTTAATTAATGGGAAATGGAGTTAACTGGGATTGTTTTAATCTGGAATTATCAACATTTCAAAGAATAACACACACGTTTATGTATTGCAGTGCGGGAAGTCCTAGAACAATGAAATATTTTGAGAAATATTTAAAAAGGCAGAAAATTGCATTTCCCTAAAGGAGAAGCATGCTCTTGGAAAGTAGCCTCCACCTGTCTTAATAGGCCCAGCAAGACTGGGCCAGCCTATCTACAAGACAAAAGACGTCCAACTGCAGGGTGATGGGATTAAGACATGACCCTCCAGGACATAATAGGATTAACCCATCTAGTAGCAGAGCTCACCACATGGCACAATCACCTTGGGATATTGCATCACCCAGTAAACTTCAACCAAACCTGGGACAACCTACAAAGTTAGCTATGACCTCTACAACAGCCATTAGAATACATGTTCTTCCACAGGAACAGGAAGTTCAAGTGCAAAGCCCAAGAGAAGGTATATATATAGCCCTCCTTCTCAACCCTGTGTGGTCAGCTGCACCATGATCATGTGCTTGGTGGTTCTTTTCACCATTAACCTTTTTCCAATCAGCCTCCACGTTTCCAGTGTCTTTATCCCAGCTTAGAACTGAACCAGATGGATATTTCTTCCAACAGCAGTTATTTTCTATGTGAAATGAGTTCAAGACTTTCTGCTACAAATAATGGTGTGGAAAGTATTTTCCAAGGGCTTCGTCTTAGATTTCTTCAATGGGGTTCAAGAATTGCATGTTGGTAATGATTATGCTCTAAGATGATGTTTGCTTTAATCATAGTATGTTTCATAGTATGGGTTAGTCATTAACCATGACTTTCCACTGCACACTGAACTCATTTGAAACAAAACACATTAGTATAAATTAAGACCCTCGTCATTGGGTTACCTTTTGAAGCAACCTTTGAATTACAACTTGGGCTTATGAAACAGTTTTTAAAACAATCATAATCAAAGATTATTGATGCTGTGGTCGTACATTGATAATGGAAGTTATAACTATCAACAAACAAGAATAGTAACTATTTCATTGGTTGTGATTGGTTTAGTTTTGACTTAGAATCTTGTGTAAACCTAGTCATTGTAGCTCATGTAGCAGTTTGATGTCATGGTGAGATCGGACATGAGGAACAGGGCTCTGTGAATTTGCACCAAATCCTTCTTGTTGGAGAGTCCTCCAAGGGGCTAAAGTCATCCTGTAGGGGTGATGAAGAAAGAAGGGGCACCCTACATATGGTGGAGAGCAGTAGCTCTCCAGATGGACCCAGGGATTCCCTCCCATCCAACAACAAAAAGGAGAGGCAGTCATTATGGCTGCCATGAATCTGGGGCAGCAGAAGAAACAAAGAATGTGCTGGAGTGGTGTAGATGAACAGTGATTGGAACTCGGTGAGGTGATTGTTGTTGTTGTTTTTTTACCTAGAACTTAAACTCAAAGAAAATAAACCCAGCAAACGAGACTGTTGCATCAGGGGGAGATGAGTGGATTTCAANATGAATCTGGGGCAGCAGAAGAAACAAAGAATGTGCTGGAGTGGTGTAGATGAACAGTGATTGGAACTCGGTGAGGTGATTGTTTTTTTTTTTTTTTTTTTTTTTTTTTTTTTTTTACCTAGAACCTAAACTCAAAGAAAATAAACCCAGCAAAAGAGACTCTTTGAAATGCATGTCAGAGCAGTGGATAATACAGAGGGGAAAATTATAGACCCAAAACAAAAGGAACTAAAGGGAGAACGCAAAATCTTTAAAATATAGAAAGCTTGGATTTTTAAACTTTATTGGCAATATTTTGGTAAGGCATTTTAAAAAACTGAAATTATTTGTCTGCATATTGACTATTTGCAAAAAACTGAAACAAATATCTGTCAGATTTTGTGCAACATTTCTGCCATCTACTGGTGAATGGAATATATACTAAACTCCTACAACTTTGGGAAGTACTGATGAGACAAAAGGGGGAGACCTGGAGGACTGCTGTAGTATCTACTGTTCTATATCTGTCTACTTCATGATTATTGAAGGTTTAACTCAGAAATTGTCTAAAGAAAGAGATTTAAAATGCAAGGATCTATGACTGAACTTACAGAATGGACTTAAGGAGACATTTGGAAATCTTCCTGGATTACCTAAATGGAACAAATTGACTGTGGGAAAGAACTATAATTATTGCATTCACCTGAGGAGCAATGCTAGGATTGAGCAAACAGTTTCTAAGCTGACTTTTTGTGGTCATAGACAATTGAGACTTTGGGGTGATGACAGATTACTGACAGGCTATTGAGCAAAATTTGGACCTATCAAAATAAGACAAAATGTTGCATCAGGGGGAGATGAGTGGATTTCAAAAAGAAATGGTGTTGATGCTCCAAAGTACTTATGATATGTTGATAAAGAACCACAGGGAGAAAAAACACTTAATGTATGACATTGTGGGGAAATCAGAAAATGTTCAACAAGGGACAATGAATAAAGAGTATAAAACACAGGAAATAGAGGAGATAATAGAANTTCAGACGCCATTAAGTGGGATTTAGTTTCGGCTCCACAGAAGTTCGTGCAAGATGTTAGTCCTAATAAATGAATGGGGTTTTTTTGAACTTTGTCTCAAGGCTTGTAAATTAATTAGATCAGCTCTTGGAAACTTCACATCTGGTTTGTAATTGTTTCTTCTTAAAGATCCAGCAGAATATTCCATTGTTACTGATTAATTTATCTATGATGAGTTCATTTCAAGGTTAATTTCAAGGATGATTCTGATCAAAACTCTGAATTGCATTTTCTACCATCTTTGGACAGTATAGTACTGAAACATTATAGTACTATCGCAATGTGCAGTTCTTCGTGTTCCTTGTTTTTACTGCTACGTTATTTCCTAGCATTTTTTCCGCTTTCCACTTCCGCTTGGAAATGAGTGGTATCAAGTATTTGGAAAATGTCATGGCCTGTCAGCAGGAATAGCAATTATCTCCTTGATCCATGTTTCCTGTCACTTGCTGTAGAAAAATCAGTTTCTGAATTTTAATCAGTGAGTTACAGGCATGGAGGTAACAGACAATAAGTGGGA